ATTACATCCCTTTTTTATTTTTCTTTAATTTTGTTTCCATACAATGATTTTTTCACTTCTCTTCTGTTTTTCGTTGTAACAAATTATTCATTCAAAAAATCTATTGAGATCATTTTTCGAATAAATAGTAAAAAGCATAGCGATATTTTGAGCTATCATTTAAATATTGCACACTATGCATTAACTGCGTATAGCTTTAATGCTGCGTAGGCGAGATGCATGAATCTTAGACGTTAACAGAAACAATGTAGACTCGTCACTTTTTGTTTTCTTAGCGAATATTTGTTTAAGATTTTAAACATTCTTTTGCACGTTAAAAGAAGGTATTCTTTAACGATTTTTCTATGGGAACTCCACTACGTTTGCAGTCACACTGACTAGGAAAGGTGAAAATTTCATAATAGGTAAGTCATATCTTTATAGGACTATTGTATGACATACCGCTCACCGGATCCTGGAGTTGCGTAGTGTCGAAAAGTATGTTTCGAAAAACTGCTCATAGACAGAAAGAGAGTCTGGTACACAGAATGAATGACTTAGCAAAGCAATGAATCTTAGAGGAGGGCTTTTCTGACCGCTGAGCCTGGACAAGTCAAGTAAAAATGAGATGTGGATTCGAATTCTTGCTATCCTTGGTGCCCAATACTGTGGGAATCGTTGATATATGTACTCGTGAGAATTGGATTTTGTGGAACGGCAGAATCCAATCTGACGGTGTATCGATCCTGTTTAAAACTTGTATTTTTTTAGCGCGTTACGCTGCTGTTAGGTAACTGCTAAAAAAATGATTCACCTAGTATTGGGCAACTATGGTAGCGAGAATTTGAACCCACATCGTATTTTTGTTTAACTTATCCATGCTCACTGGCCAGAAAAGCCCTCTCCTAAGATTCACTACAATGCTAAGTCCTTCATTCTGTGTACCGGGACTCTCTTTCTATGAGCAGTTTTTCGAAACATACTTTCGACACTACACAATAACTCCAGGATCTCAAACATATACTTAGTTTCTACTGTTATTTATCTGTTAATGCAAGAGATTGTACCTAAAAATTGGTTATTACAACGGTCAATTTTGAAGTCAACAGGATATTATGATGACGATATTTTTTTCATGTAATAGTCTTATGAAGATCTATTGTTTTTTGCCTCTTCTAAAGTTTCGAAGTCGTCTGGAATGCAATGATACTATAATACTAGACACACAGTTCATAGTCTACTAAGTTAATATAGTCAAATTAGTAGACTAGTATTAATGTTATACGTCGATGTAATTGAGTGTGACATCGAAAACGAGGCAGCATTAAAACAAAATACCCCGTTATTTATGAGATAAATTTACGCAAAGTCTATAGGGAAAAAGCATAAATAGATAATACAAAAATCAAATAGAATATTGAGACTTATTCTTGTTTAAAGTTTTTTTCTCCATAATAGTTTAGTTGTACTCACACACAAAAAGAGGAGAAAAAGAAGATTACAAAGGAGTACTACTGTATTATGATTATTAAAAGTCTTACTGTAAGGACATCCATGTTCAAGAATATGGTCTTATTTTTCTTGAAAATCGTTTCTTTTCAACTACATGTTTCTATGTCTTCACAAGTTAAGGAAAATGTTCAGAGACATCAAGACAAATAGAAGTCGGCGAAAACTCGTTCCTTTTTTAGATGGACAATTTTGGAGAACGTCGCCTTACTATTATCATAACTTCACTGGGGGATTTTCTTTTTTCAAATTATTTCTTTTTTCTCATCCTCTCTTCTATACTGCTTATTTCTTCTTCATTTTATTATTTTTATTTTTTGTTCAATTTTTCATTAATAATGAATTTCTCCCTGTATATGTAGTTGATAATAATGATTCATTATTATCATCTACATACGCAGAGAGACAGAAGAAAAGACAAGAAAGAATTTTGCATAGTGCTGTCAGTTTGGTAATACAAACAAATATAAGAAACTAACGTATTCTTTATTATTACAAAAAAGAAAATATTAAACGATTAATGATAATCGCAACCTTGTCATGCAAATTGTTTACAACATATCAAAAAAGAGCTGATTTTGTTCAAACAGTCGGTTATTACAGAGCGAATGCTTCGGTGCTTTTCTTAGTTTACGTTAGTAATTAAACTAACACACTTGTTGTAGTAATAACTACTTGATAAAGTCTCTCAGTTTCACTTATGATTATTCGAAAATTACAGACTATGTAGGTATTCATACTAATTGAATAATAGTGAAGTGGTGTCTATTTAACTTATTTAAGGACAACTTCATCGGGTGTCGCCTAGCATTAAGAAGACTATCGACGCAAATGTAGTTAGTCACTCATCACATCTTTCAAAAGGGTATGAAGTTCTGATTAAGAAAACGTTCTTTCCAACAAACGTTTTCATCGTTGGTTTAGAGTTGTGAGCGAAGCTCATATTTTCATTTTTCGCCTAAAACTCTCAACGACATCGGTCGATTTCGTTTCTATAGAACTAGAAGCAAGAATCGAATGTTTGCTGAAATCTCTACTTTGTAGTACTACCAAAATGGCATAAGCAGAAAGCTTCTAAACTGTTTACATAGAGGGCAGCATGCGTTCTAAAAAAAGTGAAAAATAGTCTTTATTCTGATACATTTTTAAAGAAAATATTTTGATATATTTTTCTTCAAGAAAATGCGCTCGGTCTGAAGCTACCTATGTTAACAGTTTGGATGCTTTTTACTTATGCCATTTTGATAGTACTACAAAGTAAAGATTTCAGCAAACATTCGACTCTTGCCTCTAGTTCTTTAGAAAGGTAATTATTTTATAGAATTTTGTTTTCAGACAGTTCAACGAGTTTTCAGTGGAAATGATACTGAAGAAAAAAATGCATGAAAGATAAATTTTTTTGGCCCATATTTGGTTCACATATCTTCACTCATTCATTTTTCATTGCCAGTAAAGGATTATAGAAAAGAGCCGGCTCTTTAGAATGAGATCTTGATTGTCATTTTCCTGAGAAAGAAGAAGTAAATATTCTCTACTATACTAATAATTTTGGAACACTAAAATACCCAAATTTTTAGTTTTGTTTCACGAAAAAAATATTAGCTTCCTTAGAAAGTTATGATTTATTTACTCGGAAACTACATGCTGTACGGATAATTTCGGACGCATGTGTTTAGGCCGAATGGTTTGGCAAAAAAAGTGGAAAAATAATACGTTCGAAAAGTGTCTTAAAGTGAGACATTTACAGTGTTTTTTTCCCTCCGACTTCAACGTCTGGAAATGAGTCACTTTTATTTCACAGTGCATAATGAGGTTTCCAAATTTTCTAACCTTTAAACTGGCTCAGAATTGGCACACGTGTTGGTTTATCTATGCTGCACGCATGCAGATATAATAACTTCGCATAAACGTTCCCGGACTACGCTACTGGTTCCAAAACTTTCTTGTTTTTCACGAAAAACCCACATTTCTCAGTTCAGGAATATTTATATTGAAAACTAAGGTCATATTCGGAATCGGAGCGTGAAACTACGTCGAATGCAGTTTTCAAAGATTTTCTGAGATATTTTTTACAGGTCAACAAATTTTATTTGAGGGGACCTCATGCAATATTCATTAAAAACTAAAGTTTTAGAGTAAGACTTTTTCTTGCGAGAATACCATTTTAGGTATAGAGAGTCATTGTAAATCAAAAGCACCATTTTCGATGATAAAGAAGTTGATGCTCGGTTGCCTAGTGGAAAATGCTCACTGTGACTACTTAACTAGAACTTCGAAAAAAAAATCTATAATTATAGTTCTCTCAACCCCTGAGTGTTGAGATTTTTCGAATATAGCAATATCCAAAATATCTATCGAGTCATAGATATAATCAGTTTGAATAAGAAAAAACATCCAAATAACTTATTAGTTTATTGTTGTCTACTTTGCTTGATAAACGCTAACGAATAAAGAAAAAGTGTGCGCTGTAGAATTTTCTATCTGGTGGCTATTGATTATCTCTATGCTAAATTTCTCAGCAGTATATAAACCAATTCAATTTTTGTTTGTTTGTTGCATCGAAAATTTACATTTCAAAAGATAACTCTACTTTTTGAATTTGGATCTTTCTAGTTTCCTTGTTTTAAATGATGAGAAGAGGAAAACGAAAAACAACAGAAAAAAGAGAAATATGATAGGCTACAGAACGATATTTAGAAGATAATAAAAGGCAATATAATATATAATTAACAAAAAAAAGAAATAGTAGTATGTAAAAAAAAGTAAGAACAAAAAAATGACACAGAGTGAGAGAGAGAGAGAGAGAGTGAAATAGATCTTTTGTTTTTGTGAAATAGTGCAGCAAGCTGTTTATCAAAAAGATATAGATACGATTTTACTATCAAATAGTCTTGAAGTATGTATTGTTTAATTCTGTTTAATATATAAATTTCTAAAACACAAATCTCTAAGATCGATTTTCGGTTTGAGAGACATAACTTTAAGGGTAAGGCGATCTAAACAAATTTGGCAACTCAAAAAACTAAAAACACACTTTTTTTACTCTCAGGAAACTTAATTTACCAGCTTCCAAACAAAGTGATCGATCAGCAATGCATTATTGTATGAATTTCACAGATATTGTCCGTGTAAAAACAAATATCATAGAAAACGACGGATTTAACAAATATTGCTGCAAGAAAAGGCGCAGTTGGCTTCTCCGTTTCAGTTGTTCAAATTTCGTGAAGTTCATTCGGACACGTCGGTCTGCACTTTCTTCTTTTTTTCAATCGAGTACTACTGAGTTACATCAGTTTCTAAATTCATCATTGATATGAACGAGTGTAAAGTACTAATGAATTAAAAATATTCTTCTCTAACAAAAAAATGATGTCTTTTCTTCTTATTCTTCTAGATAAAAATAATTGATTTTGAATAAGAAAAAAAATTGCAAGTCTTCTTACGAGACTGATGAACATCAATAATAAAAATTATGCCATCAAAATGAAAAAATTTTCTTGTGTTATCCACTTATGAAGTCGCTGAGTCTTTGTTTATGTAGATTACTTTATTATCGACAAGGAAAAAAGCAACAATGTTATTCTCATTATTTATATTCTATTACGTTTACGCTATCGATAATATTCAATTATTTTAGTGGACTAAACAGTGTACAAGTGCCACGTTCGGCACGTTTGCTAGGCAATTTGACATTAGGAGGCTTATTTCCAGGTTTGTGGTTCCGCTTAGAAAAAACTCTGTTAAGAGTTTAATAATATTCTTTAGTAGTGAACACAAAGAGCATTTGCGTTCAAGGATAAAAGTGACATGAAAAAATTATTTCAAACATTTGTTCGGTTATCTTGCGAGACCAAAGATGAAAATTGCTTGACCTAAGGGAAATAGAATGCTTTTAGTCAAATTCGGCAATATTAATAAACCATCACAACATGTGAAATGCTGACACTGGTTTACCTACGTGTTTATAAAAAAACTGCTTGAATACTAACTACTATTACAGCCGTAAAAAAATGCATTGTTTCCTCTCTTGAATCATTTCACTATTTTTATAACTTGTTTTCATAATATAGTTGCACGACCAACACTCTAATCTTTCCGTTTCAGTTCATGATTATGGTGGTCGTGATCCATGTGGACCAATTAGTGAATTTCGAGGGATTCAACGTCTTGAAGCAATGTTATTTGCATTAAAACAGATAAATGAAGACCATACTGTATTGCCGAATATTACTTTAGGGGCAATTCTATTAGATACATGTTCGAATGATAATTATGCACTTGAATCAAGTCTTGAATTTGTTCGCAGTCGTTTGACATCTACATCATATTCATGTTCAGACGGAACTATTCCACAACCAATTCATAATGAAAATGTTGTAGGAGTAGTGGGTGCTTCATTAAGTTCTGTTAGTGTGTATGTTGCAAATTTATTACGTCTATTTCAACTACCACAAATATCGTATGCATCCACAGCGCCAAAGCTGAGTGAACCATCATTTGACTATTTTGCCCGTACAGTACCGTCAGATTCAAATCAAGCACGAGCAATTGTTGATATATTACAACGATTAAACTTCACTTATGTAAATGTAATTTATTCTCATGGAGATTATGGTGAGGGAGGATTTCGAGAATTTAAACGTTTAATTAAAGATCCAATTGATACATCCGATACGTCTGTCTGTATTTCGGATGAATCACGTTTATCACGTGATCCTTCTATTCAAAAAATCGCCGATTTATTACAAACAATGTTGTCGAGACCAAAAATTGTTCGAGTCTACGTATTATTTTTAACAAAAGATGATGCGAAGAAACTATTACAAGCAATTAAAAAACAAATTCATTTATATAATGAACATAACCGTCCTGTTCTAATAGCAAGTGATGCATGGGGTAAGGAATCATCGGTTGTAATCAACGGTGAAACACATGATATCGCAGTTGGTACATTGACCATTGAGTTAGTCTCAAAAGAACCATCACAATTTGATCGTTATTTCAATTCATTAAAACCAACAAATCTAGCCTTAAAAAATTTATCTAATTCATCATTATCACGAAATCCGTGGTTCAATGAATTTTGGGAACGTCGTTTTGGATGTGAATTAGAAAAAAATAAAACATGTTATGATCAAATATTAAATGAAACAAATTGGGATTCAAAATTACAATTTATTGTTGATGCTGTTCGTGTATTTGCTCACGCATTACATCGTTATTTAAATTGTTCAAATATTACAGAAACACCATGCAAAATTAGAGATATTAATGGAACAAAGTTGTTTGATATCATACTGAATGGTACATTTGACAGTAAGTCATGTTTCTTTTAAAACATTATATATATTAAGTGCTGGAAAATTATGATAACGACATTATTTTTCTACTTGTTTTCTCTGAAGTTAATGATATTTTTTCTATATATTAATCATTTGTAATCAATAATGTAGAATAGATTATCTTGCGGCTATTATTTTGTTTTTTTCTAATACTCTATTTTATCTTGCTGCTATACTGTATGTTAGAGGTCATCATGGTATAAAATTTTCGGTCAAAATCATCACAAAGAGATTCTTTAATAATAAAAGTTAGTTTTATATTGTCTTCAATATTATAAAGATGTAGTGTTGATTTATAACAAAGTGATATTATTCGCCCGTTTATTTTTCTTATTTTGTTAGAAATTTTAATCAGATCTCATATTCCCTTTTCTTTTCTTTCTGCAATAGTGATTCTGTTTGATTGCTTTATGGACATAAAAACAAAAAATTATTTTATCTTCAAGTGAGATAGAGAAATGATCAGGGAAATCACAATCAAATAATATTGTTCGTTCATATGAAGGAACGCAGAGAAAGATAGCAATTGTAAATGCATCATGACTAATAATATCAAAATAATGGGTCAAACATGCTGCGTAGTAATTTTACATTTGTGAAACAGAACACTAAATAAGTATCGATGACAATTATTTGAACACATAACCCGAGCATGCGACAACTGGTGATCTAATAACTTAGTGGAAAGATTAATGATACGGATGATCGAGATTTAGTCGAGGCGATGATATTTTTTTTTCCTATGGTCAACTTTAGACATAGGAAAAAGAAAATTTTCAATAGATTGCAGTAGTAACGCTTCTTATAGTCTTTAGTAAATATTATCATGCTATACTCTCAACATATTTTTAGAAATGTAACATTTAGTCTGTCAAGTGAGTGAGTGACAAAATCTGAGAAATATTCATATCCTTTTGCGAAAAATCAGGTAGAATTCTCGTTCGAGTGAAAATTTCACTTCATTCAGGCTTCATTATGAAGTCTTACACAATTTTGCTTTTATGTTCTCTTCCATTTTTTTTAAGTGCCTGATGGACGTCAAATTCAATTCAATAAAGAACGCTTTGTAACTGGTCATTATCGTATTTATAATTTTCGTCGTCGTCTACCATCAAATTCAAAAATTGACATTTCATCTTCATCCTCATCATTGTATGATTACGTTTCAGTTGGTGAATGGAAATCTGGATTAGATAAATATGGTATATTGGATTTGAATATTCCATCAATCATCTGGCCTGGTAATCAATTAAGTACACACATACCAATCTCTCGTTGTAGCGAACCATGTAAATTAGGTGAATTTCGTCAAATTCAAGCTGATATTTGCTGTTGGGTTTGTACACCATGTAGCAATAATTCTATTGTGATAGAAGGTGAAAAATGTGTACAATGTAAAATTGGTTATTGGCCATCGACAAATCGTACACAATGTTATAAATTAAATGAAACATATATTGAATTATTATCACCGCAAGCATTGATACCCATATGTATATCTATTTTAGGAAACCTATGTACATTATTTGTTGTAATTTTATTTTATCGAAAACGTCAAACACCAGTGGTTAAAGCATCTGGTATAGAATTATGTTTTGTAATGTTATGTGGTATACATTTAAGTTATTCAATGACATTACCAATTATATTAAGACCCCATTTAATTACATGTATTATACAACGAATTGGAATTGGTTTAGGATTTGCCATGATGTATTCAGCACTATTGACTAAAACAAATAGAATAGCAAGAATATTTGAAAGTACAAAAAAACAAGGTAAGATGTACAATTAATAGCACTTTTGAGTTCCTCATAAGGTGATACCCTTTTTCCTCTAAAAAAACTCTCTTATATGTCTTAAAATAAATAAATAATAAACATAACAACTGATAAATGATCAACATTGATAGATTCTTTATATGATTTTAAGATCTTTGTATTTATGTTTAAGTGGTCATCAGATTGTTAGATGTGTCACTCTATGTTCTGAAAATATACAGTATATAACAGAACTATGGATATTGATCGATCGATCATTACGCCTTGTTCTTTAAATTTTTTTCGATTCTTTTTCGATTTTAGGTACTTTACGCCCTCCGTATATTAGTCCAAAGAGTCAGGTTTTTATTTGTCTATGTTTAATCATAATTCAATTATTATTATCATTATTATGGTTAGCATATGAACGACCAATTGTTAATTTAATACCTTATGAAAGACTTGTTATTGTTAAATGTGATACAAATAAACATTCATTTTTACTTTCATTAATTTATAATGCCCTTCTAATTACTATTTGTACAGTGTATGCTGTTAGAACACGAAAAGTACCAGAAAATTTCAATGAAACAAAATTTATTGGTTTTACATGTTATACAACTTGTATTATATGGTGAGTGGAAAATATTATCGTTGGTAATGTTTTCAATTTTATATTTCAATAGGTTGGCATTTTTACCAATATATTATACAGCGTACGATAATGGACGACATCAGGTATAATTTTGAAAACATCGGAAATAGTTTTAGTGAGAAATTGTATCAATATATCAATATGATTTTTGATCATTTTTTTAAACACTCCATGTACAGTAAGAATATAGCGTTCTTCATATTTTCATAGAGTTCATTCAAGTTCGGTGAGATATAAAACGCTTAGTTTATGTTTTCTGACGAAAAACGAATTTTTTTACTTCATCAGCTCATTTTGATTTTTGAAGAATTGCGTTCTAGAAAAAAAGCAGAAGTAGAAAATACAATTTTTTGTTTGTGTTGTTTGAAGATCCCGTAGCATAAAAATAACATGTCAATCCCCGTTTCTGTTTTGTTCAGCTTAGTATATGCTATATAAACGTCATGACTTTTCTCAACAATTTAAAAATTTCTCTCTATTTCCAAAAATGAGCACACTTCGAAGGTATATTTCCCCTTGACAATTATGAATAAAATTGACCAGCATCGCTTTCTAGGGATTGATAAAATCCAGCATTGTCAATGACAAAATTTATACTATATATAAGCAGTATAGGAAAAATAATCCAGCCATATATAATCATAGAGATCGTATTAATTAAAGAAATCGAACGCAGAGAACTACACAGAAGAAAAACTAAATACAAGTTCTCTGAAAAATGAAGAATAGAACAGAGTTTTCCGATCTCTAAATATAAATATTCCAGATTGGGATATGATCAAATAAAAAGCTCAGTTTCAATTCTTTCAAAGAAGTAAAATTTCAATTTTATCAATTTTCAGAAAACTTGTATCGTATTTTGCTTTTTAAAGAACTCATACCTTTTACTAAATTTATCTTACAACATGCTACTACAACAACCATATATCCGATCTGGATCAAACTCTCAGGAAACGTTGATCATATCGAGGAATAGTTAAGAGAAAAGTTAGAAGACTCTATCTACTTTCGTTCAACAGATATATTTTAGTTATAATTGAAATTTATCACAAGAGTTTAAAAAAGCGAAGAAACTGGTGTATAACTTTCAGCACTGTAAAGGACGACTTAGATCAAAATAGACTCTCGTACATTGTTCCCATATATCTTAGATTCAATTTAAAAAAAAGATGAGTCCGTTCACTTTTCGTTACAAATAAATCTGCCGGATGGTGACTTCTGCCGAGCAAAAATCAATTTGGAGAAAAGCGCAAATTACTTTTCTTTGGAAAACCGCTCTTTTTATTTATTCCGGTTTTTCGGAGTTTAGTGGAATTTTCTATAGGCTATCGACCATGCAGAATTCTGATGCGCATATGCTCGAACATGAGTGGCATAAGCGTAGTCATGTGTGCGTGTACAGGTCAAAGCAAGAAAAATCTGAACATTTGATTGTACCAGCCAAAAACGTAAGTCCGTAACGTTTTGTGAAAGTCATAGCTCTTCAACCGAGCAACTTACAGAGTTACGGAACGTCTTATTTTGTAGTTTGAAGGTTTTTCTTTCAAACAGTAATTAAGCAAAATCCAGCAGCCGACTAGTTTAAGTGACATAATGTTTTTGGTATATGCTACTTTTGCATAAAAGGGTCTTATTGTCACGAATTAGAGGCACGTGTTGCTCGACTGAAGAGCTATGACTCTCACAAAACGTTACAGATTTACAAGCCCCTTTTAGAAAATAATAATTAGTGCATTTGAAAGAGAACACTTGAGGCTATATCTTCATGCGCTTTTCTCAAAATCGATATTTTAGACGAAAATCGTAATTTCTGACCCGTAGGTGGTGTGAGAGGCTTAAAACGAAAATCAAATCGAGATAATGAATATTTTACAACTCCTTTTGAAGTGTGTAGTATTTTCCATCTTGGTCAACAACATCGACTTCATATAATCTTTGCTGAAATGGTGACTCAAAAAATGATCAAAAATTTCATACCACAATGAGTCAGATCATTTTGTCCTAAAAAGCGTTTCCCATCTTATAAAGTATCGAATACATGATGCTATATCTATTATAGGTTCATATAACCACGTTGTGCATAACAATATCGTTATCAGCTACTGTGGCATTGGTCTGTTTGTTTTCTCCAAAAGTTTATATTATACTAGTGCATCCAGAGAAAAATATGAGATTAACAAAACAGTTAAGACCAACCCTGAATAGTTTAAAATTTGCAGCACAAATACCACATCGTGACGAACATATAACAGCCACAGGATCAAAGACAAATAACGCTAACGATAATACAAATCATGTGTCACAAGCAGCAATAGCAACAAGTCCATTGATTAAACAAACCGATATTGTATTAAAAAATAACAGCAGTAAGAATGTTGCCCGACTAAATAAACAGGGATCTAAGCAGTGAAATTTTTGAAGTAGGGCAATTTGTGATTTAAAGCGATTCGATTTTTCGTAAAAAGAGTATTCATTTATTGTTTAGACGATGAAAGTCAAAAACTAACACTAGAAATCTAATCACAATATTATGATGATGCTGATAGCCTTGATTCCAATACATTATTCCAGCGTTTCCTAAATGGGGTTCCATGGAACCCTGGGGTTCCGTGAAGTGAAATCAAGGGTTCCGCCAGAAAAAAATAAGAAGATAAAAATTAATTTCACCACGTAAAAAAAATTACGTAGTCTTAAATAATTTTTGTCAAATATTATGTTAAAATACTACTGGGGTTCCACAAAGTTTTAAATTTTATGAAAGGGTTCCATGGCTAAAATAAATTGGGAAACGCTGCATTATTCGATGAAAAGTCATAAGTTACATACAAAGTTGTCACAAGCTTCACATCATCAACCGACATTTGGAGGAGAGATAGTGCTCAGTGAAGGTGATAGAGTGATAGTGCTCGTCGTAAAAGATGGAGACAGAAAATAATACAATTCGAAAAACAGATCTCTTCAAAGGAAAAATTGAATTTTTTCATTCATAGCTGCGGTGATTGTCTCAGGGAAGAAAATGTTTTTTTTCCAAGAAACTAAGTTTTTCTGTCTGATAAAAAGCAAGTATGCCCCGAAGTATGTGCAACACCTATGTCAGGCGGTCACTGGGAGATAAAAAGTGTGTTAAGTTTTTCCGTGAGTAAACTAAGTGTATCCATCTCTATGCATATAGGAGCTTTTTATTCATTTCACTTTATATGGAGCATTACTGTACCAAAAAACTAACTTCAGAATCGTCATCAGTATGCTCAAAATCGTATAATATCGAATTTTCAAACACCTAGACTTGTCAAATTTACGAGCCACTGCACAGAAAGGGCGACCGACTTTCCTATGTGCTGCTCAATCGGTGTTTGAATTTCTCGTTCGAAACTTTAGCATGGGTATGGACAACAACATATCTAGGAGGATTCTCAAAATTTTTTGAACTGGATGTGCTTTTCCGGAGTTATACTATTTTCCGTAAAAAGTCATAAAAATCGCTAAAACTGCCAAACCAAAAAGTTTTGGAAATCTTCCTAGATATGTTGCACACACCCATGCTAAAGTTTCCAGGGTTTACCACAGATACTTCAGACCCTATCTCAGGTTCGTTTTTTTAAAGCGTTTTCGATTTCAACTTTCGGCGTGAAAAGGTTTTTAAAATGAAAACCCGGTTTTTTATATGGGACTTTTAGTAGTTTTCGAATATCTCGAGAAGGAAAGAATATTTTTCGAAAAGAAAACAAACGAACCTGAGATAGAGCCTGAAGTATCTGTGGTAAAATTTTGAGTTCGATCATCTTTTCGAGGGATCGTAATGTGGCCTGATGAAAACCCATCCAGAAAACCCATAGAATAATGAAAATAAATGCGAAGCAATAAGGTTTTCTACCAGACAATCGAGAAGCATCACTTTTACCCTTCCTGTTTTATCACTCCTGGGAGTAGCTTTATCTGAAAAAGATTTTGTTAAATATTTGGGGCTTTATCTTTCATATGACTTGAAATGGGACAGACATATTGATAATATTGCCTCAAGATGGGAATCCCTTGTTGGGCTGATGAGATGGCACTATAGACTTTTTAATAAGGCGGTTCTAGACCTTATTTATAAGGCTTTTGTGCTTTCGTTTTTTAACTATGGATCTATTTTATTCTCTTTTACTACTCAGCAGAATCTAGATAAATTGGAGGCAGCCAAAATTGTACATGGCCTTGCCCCAGAATATCTGCGATCTCAAATCCAACACCAACAAACTAATGCTGTACATAATTTAAGAAGTAACACGCAAACTATAACGCAACCTGTAAATACGCGCCATAGCTCTTTGTTTACTCTACTCTCTAAGAAATGGAAAGAATTAGATCCAACATTATACTCGTTAAAGGCGAAACCATTACGTAAAAAGCTGAAACAGAATGCTTTGGATTTGCGAAGCGAATCCCCGTTTAAAAAAAGCCTCATTTTTCCACCACGACAAGCTGAAATACTTTTTATGCGATTGAAATGTGGAAATCTCCAACTAAATGCCAATCTACACTCCAAAAGATGTGTTTCATCCCCTCTTTGTGCATGTCGAGGAGCTAACGAAACAGTAAAGCATTATTTATTAGATTGTTCAACGTATGTTTTAAAAAGAACCGATCTGCTGTCCGGTCTAAGCTTCCTGCCTTGTGTGTCAGTGGCTAGTTTATTGGGAGTTCGTGGGAGATGTTTGGGCGAGAGTCAAGTTATTCTGAACGAGATATGCAGATATATACTACGGACAGTGCAATTCTGAGAAGTTTACGTTTCCTCTCGCTGCCAATACAAGTAGAACAGTAGAAGTGAATATCCCAAAACCCGAATGACCATCTTTTGCGTGAGCTTTCTCTTTCCCTTCCTTTCTCCTTTTAAGCTCATTATACGTTTTTTTTATACATTTTAAGGCGCACATATGGCGAAAGCCGCTTGCGCAATCGTTCTTTTTTCTTTTTTAATAAAAAATTTATAATAAAACCCATAGAAGAACACGTTAGAAAGTTCTGGACAAAAAACATCCATTTCTTTTTTAATATTCTATCTCTGGTATAAATTTCGACCCGATCCGACATCGGCTTCCCCGGTTTCCAGGAGGGTCAACAAAGAGGGGGGGGAGAGTACTCTTAAACAACAGAACGGCCTGACTAACTCTGTTACCGGAGTGTAATTCCGTCATACTTTTTTTTGCATTTTGGTTCTCTTATAATTTCTGAACGTCAAGACGCCCAGACCTCTGAGACATCCCAAATTAAAGAGAAAAGTGTGCTGCACGTTTTGAGATATTCCCGCACTCTACACGACTTTTATTCAGAAAATGTGACAAAAATACAGACACATACTTTTCAAAACTTTTCGGAAAAAGTAAATGTCTGTATTTTTCTTACATTTTCCCCCGTAACACATTAGTCTTGTTATAACAGAGAAAAATTACATTTATGTAATTTTCCTCTGTTGCAATAGGAGTAAAGTAGACTTCTATTGCAAAAAGTACGAAAAGTAGAAACTGGAATACTTCTTACTCCCTAAGAGTAGTAAAAAAAGAAAGTAAAGTATTCTGTATGTATGTGTTTAAAGCAAGGAGAGATACAGACATACAGTGACGAACTGTACAGCCAAAAAACATAAATAATATGTCTATATCTCCGTTCGACATATACACATTCATGCAAGATTTTACTTCTTTTTTTTTTGGTTCAATTTGTTTACATGGTTGACTCCATTCTGCTTCGAAGTTTAAAACAATTAATTTTCCATGATTTTTTTCTTTATTATCTCGTATGAATTTTAATTCATCTGTGGTTGTTATATGTTGAATCATAGCGGTTTTGAATGATGTCCGATATTTTGTGCCTTTTGCTGTTAAATGTACAATCATTGATCACGTTTTGTACAACACAAACAATCTCATTAAATTAGACAAAGAGACAACGGGACAACAAACCGGTAAACGAGCCTTTTCAAACCTGTTCTATTACAAATAAATCTTGTCAGTTTTCAAATGAAATGTTTACTCATCACACTAAAACTGTATGGTGGATACGCTTTTTTAGTAAGTATTTCAGTGACTACTGTACAATCGTATTCGGGTTGTTGTTAAACATTCAACCAAGCTGTTGTGCTAGCATAATTTTTAAACAGAGTAACACATGTGCGGGTATATATCGTATACTAATATTGATAAAATGCAAATTTCTCTGTTCATTTATGTTACAAATTAAATTGATCGAACTAGAAATACAAAAGCTTAAGTTCGAGTCCGAGTCCTCCAAAAACATCTTCAGTCCGGACTCGGACTCGCTCAGCCTTGGAATAAAAGATCGTGTAGAATGCTGGAACATCTTAAACTGTGCAGTACACTTTTCTCGTTAATTTGGGATGTCTCAGAGCTCTGGGGGTCTTGCCGTTCAGAAATTATAAGAGAAACAAAATGCAATAAAATCGTGACAGAATTACACAGCAGAGTTAGCTGGTTAAGCAAAGAGTGATCAACTCACTTGCGTTCCAGCTGCAAGTGTTTGGACTCTATATTTCATGTCTCGTGTGCAAAAAGACGTATGTTTTGGGCACACTTACGCCAGTCGTTCTACATGGTCACTGAGGGACAACAAACATTTACTCTAATTTGCCCTGGGCATACTATTTTTAAAGTGTGAAAACTGGGCTAAAAGAATTTTAGCGACCTCTCTTGCATACATCTGAAATTGATCATAATAATGTAACAGTAATAAAATAATGTAAACACTGCTACCAATGGAAGTAGTACGTAGCGCGTACTAATTTAGCCTGTTAGTAAAAAGTTTCCAATTTAGATACGTTCTTATCTTGTATTATAGTCAGCTTCTTTTTATATTACAATAGCGTATTGTCTCTTCCTAGTAATTGTAAACATTTTCTTGTCTCATGAAAAAAATCAACAATATGTTTTGCATTAAACATATTTGTATTTCGAATACTAGACGTTGAATATGAATGTCTTAAATTCGTCTCGATTTTCGTTTCAAATATTTTATCTACATTTACTGTTTATTTTTCCTTGTCTTGGCAGCTTCTTGTTTCAACGCTATCGTTGTACAGTTTGTCGACGTTTTTTATCGTTTTTCTATCGTCTGTATAAGCATTTGACGAAATAAATTATGATCAACCTTATTTTTGATAATACTATAAGATGATAAATAACTGTTCGATGAACGATGACTTTTCTAAGAATCAATTATCTTCTTCTTCCGCCTGTATTGACGAATTTCGTGATGACTTATCAATAACTTTTTTTCTGATACCAACGGTTTCCTTTGACTGCTGAAACTGCCACATCACAGTAACGATTTTTTATCCCCGATGTTTGCTTTTATGATTGTTGTTGTTTAAATGATGCTAATATCTTTTAATTCATTTTCATCATGAGAATTCGCCATATGGTCAAGGTTTTCGTTTTAAAATTTTAGCTGCTATCTTTATTGACTTTGTTACATTTTTAATGTTTGATGATTGTTGGAAATGCTCGCCTTTTACTCCAATGACACTAACAACATCGTTAATGGGTTTTACTTTCTTATATGATGATTTTTTTATATTCGCAGCAATCGTTTTTTTCTTTCTGCGTTGGTTCTTCATAGCAGTCGCTGTATCGGTGCTAGTTAGTGCTATAACAGCTGGCGTTTCTTGAACAACTGGTATTATTTCAGCTGCATTTGAATTGTTAATGAAAGTTTCTTTCTCGTTCTCAATATTAGCGAGCACTGCTCCATTAAATTTCATCGCTGCACTTTCGATTGCAATATTATTTTCCTTTTGTTTTTCAACTTCTGTGAGTTTTAACTTTATTTTTGCTCTCGGTTTTCCTCCTATAAACAAATATAAATCAGAAAAAAGAAGGCATAATAAAGGTGTATATCTAATATTACCGTATTTATTACATTAGAGTCTCGATTTTTCCTCATAGCTTAACTCACTCTGCAGTGCACTTTGCCCTTTTTATTGTACAATTTCATAACTGACAAATTCACAATCAAACCCGTACCTATTTGTTCTTCAATTGTTTTTTTCAATTGTTTAACATTTGCTCCTATCACTCTGCCGCATATTTTTCCATCTTTAAACAGAATAAATGTTGGCAATGAATTGATTTTGTATTCTTCTGCAACGAGTTTTGCTTGTCCAATATCACATTTGAGAAAAACAACATGATCTTTAAAATAATCAACGCTCCAGTCATCAATTTTTGGTCCAATTTGTTTACATGGTTGACTCCATTCTGCTTCGAAGTTTAAAACAATTAATTTTCCATGATTTTTTTCTTTATTATCTCGTATGAATTTTAATTCATCTGTGGTTGTTATATGTTGAATCATAGCGGTTTTGAATGATGTCCGATATTTTGTGCCTTTTGCTGTTAAATGTACAATCATTGATCACGTTTTGTACAACACAAACAATCTCATTAAATTAGACAAAGAGACAACGGGACAACAAACCGGTAAACGAGCCTTTTCAAACCTGTTCTATTACAAATAAATCTTGTCAGTTTTCAAATGAAATGTTTACTCATTAAACTAAAAATCTATAGTGGATACGCTGTTCTTCAATATTAGCTCAGAAGTGAGTACCATTCATTTCTTGACACAAAATGTATCATGTCTTTGTACTGCAATTCAAAGTCTATTCATAAGATTTAATCTGGAAATTGCTCGTAAATTCAGTTTAGTACTAATATGGAACTTATAGTCAGACTGTGTATGTCTTTATTCGCTATTCCTCAGATTGAATTTCAGTGCGCTGTTTTTTATCCAAAAGAAATTCCACTCTCTTTTTATTTTCATTTTCAAATAATAACGTTTATTTGAGCAGATAGAAATATATCAGCGAATTATCATTTAAAAAGATTTTTGCTTCGATTCACATTAAATTTATCAGATATTTCTATCAAATACCTTTAACTAATTTTCATATATTTTTAGGAAACCATGCTGTGAAGAAAAAAAACACATTTTAGTTGTTCAAAAAATCGCTCACTTAATTACTGTCTTTACAATGACATTTTAGAATTGCAAATTTAAAGCTCCTACTACCTTAAAGATTTCTTCGCGAGATATGTAACCTACCTAATTTCCTGTGTGTATTTTTACTTGATTTTACTTTAATTTCTCGTCCTCCTTTTCCACCAAACAATACTTTGTTTTTCTTAGCAATCGTACTCTCTTTGACTCTTTTTTTATCCTTCTTCTTGACAACCGTGTCCTTTGCCTGATCACCGGTATTCAATCCACATAAGGTTGTAACAAACTCTCTGTAGTTAAATTGCGTTGTTTTTCCATCATCGACGAAGGAAAACATGATTTTTAAATCTTTTGATGTCATTGTCTGTGAATCATTACCCAGTGCAGTTAGCACTCCCGCCAGATATCGTTTTTCAATCCAGTCTTTAAATTCAATATCAAACGATTCAAATGCTTCGATCAATAATTGTCCAATTTCTTCATCTGATAAATTCTCCCAATACGGTGCAATTATTTTTTCAATTTCTTCCATGTAATATTCATCGGTCTGATATATTTTTTGTGCTTTATCTTCCATCGCTCGAATATCAGCATTGGTTGGATTTTGTCCCACCTTTCTCAATGTTTGACCCAAATCTTGTAATCGAACAATCGATTGACCACCACGTTTTATTTTGCATTGTTGGCGAAACTTTTCCAATTCTTGTTCAGGTAATGACTGAGCTACCTCAATCTCAAATGTATCACTGATGCTCAATTTTGTGTCAGCAAATGACGGTCGACCCATCGTCTTTATTTTCTCTATATTTTTGTATCAAAAAGAAAAAACTCTAAACAAGATATAAAAAAAGCGTAAATTCTAACAGAGATTACACAAAACAACGTGACCAATTGTACACTTAGTATCTCACAGAAATTCATAATTTTGGCTCCCATAGAGACTCATAATTAAAGATATCGATAGTTTATGGAGAAAGATATCCAAAGTCATTACTTCTGGTAGCACTTCTCATCTTTCACAGTACATTCACGAGCAACTTTACTCACACCTCCATCAGAACGTAGTCAGTTTGTTGCACGATATGGAATATCCCTGGTTGACGCACTATGATAATATAATTGTCCCGGCAATGCTGGCCTCGCAAAGAACGCGATGCACAAAACCATAAATAAGATTCCGATGCAAATAAATATCAATGAGATAATATTAATGATTAATTCAGCTCTCAGCACATAAATTTGCCAAACGATAAAATACAAATATCCAAATAGTGTTCCAATTGTAATTATTAACGTTAATACAGTTAGTAGAATACTTTCAGTTTTATTAGATATCGAGCCGATTACTGTTCGAAGTAAGTCAACAAAAAAAACGCTTAACATAAGAATTATTTCTCCCGCCAATCGACTATTATCGGGATAAAACAACGTTTGTCCTTTAAATACGAACGACAATGATTCTACAAAAAGCCATAATAGTAGAAACCAACGATTGATCCATAGAAATATTCCATAAATATACGATGAACGAACATTTGTACTTTCATTACTAGCTACCATAATTATCGGATAATAATCACGCTTCTCAAATGTATGAGAAAAGTTTTATTTTTGAGGGTGAAATTCAAACAAGAGATGGCGACCATTACTCTAACCAAGAAAAGATGATAGTCTTGGCAACCCGTTAACGCCGTATGAGATTATGTGAATAAAAATGTCCGAAAAGTTTGTGAAATAATCAAGACACAAAGTTTCTGTTACCATAATTCTTTGTATAGATTTCATGAATAAAAAACTTTGAGGGCACTAGGGACAATTGTTGAATGAATGTAAAAATGTAGACACGACTCCCATCTATCGGGTGTTTCAAAATATTTGCAGCATTATTTATTTTACGCATGCCTCTGCTTCAGCAGTGCCTCTGTTTGAAAAGATGCATCATTCAAGTCTGTACAAATTGGATGTGTTGAAATGGAATATGAAGCTAGGTTTCTAGAGACCGAACAGTAAACTGAGTAAACTCATTTTATTGATTTCCCAGTGATTTCTTCAGCTTTTTGTAACCCATTTCTGGTACTGAATATAATCGTCAAACAAATTTAAGTTTTTCTTTCAGCAGGGAAGAAAGAGCACTTTCAAACAACGCATAACACTTTTTTATCAGTCACGTTCTATTTCTATCGTGACAGAAATGCCATTAATTCAATTAGTCGCCTGAACCTGGGTCGTCGAAAACGGTATCGTTAACGGGCCATTAGCGTGATATATTATATATATTCGAAGAAAATCAGCGTTCCATTTATACTAGTAGTGAAAGCGAAATAATGGATTCATGTTGTTTTAAAATACATCCAGCAGAATTTTTGTAGAGATGTGAATCTTATGAAACAGACGAAGTGCTGAAGCAAAGGTATGCGTGAAATAAATAATGTTGCAAATATTTTGGAACATCGCTGGAACACATAGATCCATTGCTTATTAGGCAAAAAGAAAGCGACTTTCACCTTAACACCATTTCGTAGCTCGAATATTTCTCGGTAACGAAACATCGCAGAGAGCTCGGGACGGTCTTAAATTGAAGCTGATACATCTGGCTACAGGCTAATAGAGCCTAATAGAGCCTATTCTGTCTAGATTTGTGATTAGAAAAACATCTTTACCAAAGTTAATAAACTTTTTCGAATATTGGACTTTTGATGCTGACTATTAATTTGAAAAGAAAAACATCAAAAATCCGGCTCTAATAGCCTCTAGCCACATGTGTTTTCGTCAAGTTAAGCTCTTCACAACTTTTCGTTACTGAGAAATCTTGGAGCTACGAACAGCCCCGTTTTAGTCACTGTTGTGGCGATATCTCACAAACCATGCACGATGGAGTCAAACAAAAAATTTGGTCATCATACTTTTACAAGATCAGCATCTCCTAAAATTGTGGTCAAGATCGACTTATCGTTCAGGGATAGGTTTTAGACAGGCGCGCGGGGGGGGCCCTTAAATAGAACTGAGTAAAACGAAAGAAGATTCATCACTTTTCACTAGGAATATTCTTCTCTACATTTTGCTCTTTACAACTGAAACCTCGTTCTCAGCTATTTCTGACCGTATGGATTTGGGAAAAAATCAATTTGAATCTTTTACAGCTATAGATGAGCAACTCTTAATCATTTTACAATATATAATTTGGTTCAGCTTTATTTAGTCTCAGAATGCATGTTCAAAACCTTTGCCGTTTTTCATAAGCTACACTGTATATTTTGTAGTGTGTATAGCACAAGCGTATATTCTTTGAGATGATAGTTCATCATCAACTGTTACAAAACATATAGAGTATAGCATAAGCAGTAAGAATAAGACGTTAGTTGGTCGATGGTCATTCCGTACATTATCTTTTATTTTTTTATCATAGTATAATTGGTCTCTAGCTTTGAATTGTTACTTAAGTTGTCTATAAAGTACAAAAACTCAATTAGTAACTACAAAATAAATGGTATGAATGCTCGTCTACTATTTGGATATTGTTTTCCAAAATATTCATGGTACCATTGATGGGCAAGTAACGCTGATATTGTTTGATTTGTTATTACCCATATGCATACGCCTACGATACACAATGAATAATTACTCATGAAAAATAATGATAGATAAATAATAATCTCAGCTGAATAGTTTGGACATGAAACGTAGTTGAACCAGTAATATCCACTGGGAATCGTATAAAAATTACGATTTGTATTTTTTACACTAAATATTCGGTGTACACGATATTGAACATAACTTGAGTATATATATAAGATGAATGGAAGAATAATCTGGTGTGGAGTCACTTCACCTAAATCCAAATACATTTTTACAGCTTTTCGTACTATTCATATGAGAGTATACCATCTTCTGACTCTTGCTTTTAAGTGTTATCATATGCCGATCTATATCACTTACTTTGTTGACCATCAATAATAAGTGCTTTCGCTGTTAATGGATAATGTATTAAACCGATTAGATAATGTATGACGTTCATTTTAGATTGACTAGAATGTTTATGTATATAAAGGCATTCGAATAGACGACGAGTCATTTGAATTAGGAAGAGTACTATCAATAGATGTGATGAATTTGGACGATAATAAATATAAAGTAGAATAAGTGTGGAAATAATACCGACAACATAAAAATGAACAAAATATGATTTTGGTATGTCAAATGAACGATATTTTTCCTGATGATTTAATTTACCAAATAAATAGACACGATTAAGAAAAAAATCAATTAGTTTTGGAAGTTTTATTTTAAATAATAGACATAGTCCAGGTACCAGAACACCGATTGATAATATTACCCAATACAAGAATAACAACAAATTAATGTCGAACTGGAAATACATTATTTTAATGTAATGCTAAAATATCATGCAGGATTCTAATGAAACTATCAAAAGACTGCTCAGTTACGTACTGGAATAAATAAATGATCTCGTTTTTTATCACTATTTTTCTTTTTGACTAATCAGTGTATTTCTTTTATGAGCAAACCACGATCGTAGAACATGGCAATTTTTTGCACTAATTAACGAGAAGAAATAAGCATCATCGGCGGAACGAATTGGGTCTAGGGATGGATCTTACAAGCCTTGAGACCCTGCATCAAAGATCACATGTTTTCATCACTCAAACCTCCAAGCCATATCGAACTTTTTTTTCAGACGTAACCAGTTTTCCTGTATCCGAAACTAGTGCCAGGACTGGTCAAAATCAATATTGGTAAAGCTTGTTAAAAAATACAGTTAAGAGTCAATTTTCACCAAGTTTTACCAAGCCCGGTACTTTTTGATCAGTCTCAAGATCTTAGGACTTGTAACATCCCTAATTGAGTCTAGAATAGACTCAACATTTTTTCGCCCCGTGAAATAATTGCAGATTTTTATGATCCCCAGTGCCTGTACTCATACAGTAAGTTCTCAACAACTCAAAACTTGTACCTGAGTACTTTAATGAGTACTAACGAATATTTTTTAGTACATTTACTTATTAAGTACTCAAATGAGTACTCATGAAGTGAAAGTCTTCATATGAGTACTTATGACTTTTTCATTCACCATTTTATTTTGCACTTCCATGTGGTATAAAAACACTACGCATTTCCGAAAAATTCTAAGTTATTTCACTATAACATTGATGACTCTCTTGAAATGGATAAAATCGAGTTATCCGACACAAGAAAGTGACAGTCAATAACCTCACATAGCTAATTTCAAAAAAAAAAAGAAGTATGATGAGTATTTAGAAAATCTACGTTTAAGTACTTAAAATGGTTACTGAATGAGCTTTTATATTTACCAAATTATTTACAACTCTTCATCTAAGAAGTTAGCTAAGTACACACTGGGTACTCATGAGTTCTAAAATACACATAATTTTTCATAAGTACTCGTTACATTACTTCCCATGTGTACTCAGATGAGTATTCATGTTTGAATGCATTCTCTAGGGATGATTTTGCTTATTGTTTTGTATATCTAAGAAACGTTAAAGAAAAAAACTATACAAACTAAACGTCTACGTCTCAAACGAGATACAAATCCATATTTTACAATGTATCTGTTTTAATCTTCGCTACCTTCATCCAATCCGAACCCCGAGTTTTCTTAAACACTTCCAAATAATTGTTTTTATTTATACGTTGACGTCGAAAAAGATTTCTTTTTGAACAATATGGCAGAAGCGCCTTTTTGACTTCGTTTTCGTACTAAATCCATAATAGCTTTTTGAAGAGTGAGACAACATTACTTTGAGCAGTATTATTTATAAACATTTCGAAACAACAGTTGACGTTTACGATTTATAAATAGTTGACAAATTAACTTGTTTTTCAAAAATGAATTTTTTTAAATATAAGTACTAATTATCACTTATCTTGATTGCTTCTACCTCTTATTTAATTTCATTTTTATTTGGAATATAGAAATGAACTATAATATATCTCTTTTGAGAAACGTAATTGTTTGCCAAAATATTCGTTTCTCAAAAGAGATACTTTTTAATTGATTAAAACGTAAAATAAATTGTAAAATATGGATTTGTATCTCTTTTGAGAAGCTACGGAAGTAAACTAATACACTAGAAATTCTGAAAGTCATCTTAACGAATTATAGTCAGACGTTTTTCCGACATATAATGCTAGTCAGAAAGGCGTCTGATTTCATCAAGCAGTCAACGGTGTGTCAATCGTTGAACTGACAGCTTTCAGTCGAAAACGTGTCTGGCACGTGTACCGGTCGCCTTTTGCAACTAAATGTGTGCCAGACAGTGGCGGCGCACCAGCAAGCAACGGGTTAGCAATTGCTTCCCCTAAAAAAACTTGGGGGAAGCAATAAACTTTTATTGCTTCCTCAAAATTTTGGCGCTTTTCAGTATATTTGCTAGAATAAAACTATCTACTACTGGATATAACTATCTAGAGAGAAAGGGACTATAGCGAACGTAATTTCATTTTAAAGTTTATTGCTTCCCCTGAAAAACTGACCTTGCGCCGCCACTGGTGCCAGACACTTATTCATGTCAGAAAGCTGTAAAAAATATAAAAAATTCATAATTTTACCCCAATTCTCGAGCGCTCTTTATATTGTTTGCAAGCTTGAGACAAGATGCGGAAATGCTCTAATCGGGAATGCGTATATAACAAGATCCACAAGTGCACGAAAAGTAGGATTTTTTTTCTATATTTCGAACTTTCTCGTCTCAACAGATAACTAGCAGTCGCTTGAGAAAAATGAGAAATATGCTTAGTCACGGCCAGTCGGAAAAAGACGGACGCGCTTGCGTCAATTGCTAAAGCGATTTGCAGCGACTGACTATAATACAAGCTATAAGTAGCTAAAGACGGTTGTCATGTCGGAGTGAAATAAGAAAAGTGTTATAGTAATGAACAAAGGTCGCTGCGACTATATGAACAGATGATACTATAACGGCACCTTCTCTGCAAAGCGGTGTTTCACATGATAGCTGCAAAGAACTGAGGAAAATCTGCTGATAAGCACGTGACATCTACAATAAATGACAGTTGTAATGTTTTTAACTCTAAACACACTAATAGATAGGGAAAATAACATAGAAAAAGAGTTTTTATTAGCAAAGTTGGGATAGGCTCAAGCCTACCCTAGCCTACAGGTTCCACGACCTATGGAAATAAACTCTAAATATCAAGTAGGTCATAAAAGGTTGAGTATGTAATTATGGTTAACAGGTTATCTGTCAACAAATAATTGATGAATGACCAAGATATGTCTTATTAATTCATTGAAGATTGTATTATCCAATAAAAACAAGTAAATATGTATAATAAACAAAAGTATCAACAAAGTTGATAAACAATACAGAGTATAAAAAACAATCCATAAGCAAAAAAATATACATTTTTTATAACCGAATATTTTGATTAGATCATATCATCACCATCATTTTTTGAATCAATAAATGGTATTTCATTATAAATCATTGAATGTAATTCGTCAGACGGTGTTGTTTGTTCAAAGGAGATAGGTGAATATAGTTCAAATGTAATATCACTATATATTGATTTCTGCGTATGAAATGCAAATGGCATGCATTGTTCAATTAGATTTCGTTCTACACGGTAACGATAGTAACGTTTTCGTGCTAACCAAAGTCGAATAAACATTGGCACGAGACCACAACATATTACTGATGACATAATCATAATTAACGAAAGTTTGTACCAATTGTCGTCGATGATATTCATGTTGATTGAAAATAATAAACACAAGAATAATAATAAAATAATTTAACTTACTCATCGAAAACTACTAAAAATAGAAAAAGACTTGTATAACTTTCTTGCCTATCTATAGATCATATGAACCAGATACTGCTACTGTTTGGTGTTTATTATTACCACTAATTCCAAGATAGTGAATCTGATTCATCCACATCTTTCATCGAATTTTCCTTATTCAACTTATCACCATAAAAGCAGATGGTTTAATGAGTAGAAAAAAGAGGATAATGCTGTTCTGTTCCATTTTTCTTCATATAGTACATGACGAGAAGGCGGACAGAAAGAAAGAAATTACCGGTGTCCATAGCTTACGTGTATTTGAAGTATGTGGATGATAATATGCGTCAGATTGAGATGTTTATTTCATTGGCATTTATCTCTTTTGTAACTGATAATAAGAGGGCAATGGTAATTGCATATTTTTTTTCTATTTGATAATTTAAATCATGTCTTAAAGGAAAAAACAGTGGAATACAGGTAAATAATAATGATGATAGAATAGAATTTAAAGAGGAAATTGTAGTGTTCTTGAATTTATAATAATATAGTACACTTCCTCTATGATAAGAAAACTCATTTTTCTCTTTAGAAATATAAGATTTCAGATAGTTAGTAGACAATTATTGAAGAAAGTCTCGATAAAAATCAATATCATTTACATTAATGGCTTTAATCTGCGTACCTGAGCATTTTTTTCAAAAATATACATTGGATTATTTACGATCTACGATAAACACCATTGGGTCTGGCCTAGTCTGATAGTTGTAATTAATCAAGAATTCAAGCACTAATTGCACTGACAGCCTAATGGAAAAAAAATTACATTTCTAAATTTCAGCGAAATTCTAAAGAAAAGTCATACATATGGAATCACTTCTGTCAGTAATAGTAAATTCAACCAGAAAATCCCTTTCAAGAGCAGTGATTAGTGTGGCTTTTTTCCCTTGAGAGGGCCTCGTGGCTTTTTTTTTTTACAAAAGAACGTATAACAGTAAAACTAAACATTTTTTCCAGTATGAGTTAATTTCAAACTCGGAAGGAATGAACTGAAATTGAGTAGGCTACGACTCTAGGTCATGTACTATATTTCTCGTATATAGTTATTATTATTCTGTTCAAGAGTTCGTTCATCTTGTCGTAGAAATGAGTAAATTTTATACTAGATGACAGTTTAAAAGTCCTTATAAAAAAAATATCCACTGTACTGTAGATTTCATTTGTTCTGATGATCATTTTTTTTACAATTTGTAACGCATTTCTATATAAAAACAAACACATTCATGTCAAGTTGTTGTCTACTCTTCCCATACTTTTTGTCCAATATATTGATCAAAGAAAGATGTTATGTTACTCTGATTAGTTCTATCAATCAAAACACCACTAAAAGCTGTTACATGTAATTAAAATCGACTAAGTTCTAAAGGAGACAAGCGTATTTAGCAGCTGTTCGATTTTCTTGGTGATACTCTCAGACTGAGTTACTGTTCAAATCAGATTCTATTCTCATATAATATCCATCCATTAAAATAGAGATATTAGACGCATACACTTATGTTTATTTATCAGAGTACCAATTTGTTCTGAAAAAAAGCATTTATAATTAAAAAAAAAAGAAAAACGTACTTGTTCCAACTGTTCTCACACTCACAATACAAAAAGAAGCAAAAATACTGGAAATAAAATAATAAAGCACAAAACAGATCCTTAGAACCACCAGGTATATGACAAACACTCACAACAATAAAAAATAATCTTTCGATATACTGTTCAGTCATCACATAAAAACAAAAAATATCAATATTGCTCTGTATACTGTTCGTTTCTTTGTTTTTCTATCTGACAAATATCTATCCCATTAACAATGTTCGATTTAACTAATTATTATTATTATGATTAACAAATGATGATGATGTTGCTCGTGTTATACCATTACCATCTGATGCTGATGCAATGCCACTGGCATTTCCACTACCACCACTGGTAATGGTTGAATTTGTTTTCTTTTTTACACGAATATATTTATAAAATTTTTGAACTAATGGCATGGTAAATAAGAACGATGAAGCAACAACTGTTCCCAAAGATATTGCATAGTAGGTTAAATCATACGAACGCATACGATCAGCAATAGCACCTGAAATAAGATAAATCTCGATTAAATAAGTAATTTTTGCTATATTCTGAACTTTAACAAACATTTATACATACCTAATAATGGTGGTCCAAGAAGACTACTAATACCTTGACATAACAATAACATTCCATATGCACTCGGAAAGTTTGTTGCCCCGGCAAATTTAATACACAATATCGGCATTAGAACTTCTTGTGCCGATTGTAAAAAACCAATAAATAACATTAATGGTAATAATTTTGATGACGATTTAATAGCAAATGGTATTAAAGAATGACAAAGACCACTGACAGTTAATGAAGTAGCATACAAATATAAAGGATGTATTCGTTTACTATCACCCATATAACCGTAGCCAATTTCTCCAAATATTGAAATAATACCAACGGCTAGAATCAAATGTGAACCAGTATCGTCTGATAAATGATTTTTTTTCATATAATCAATGAGAAATGTCCACGTTGCATCATAAAATATTGTGATAATGGTAACACTAAAACACAATAATAAAAATGGTAATATTCTCAGTACTTTAACCAATTGACATAGTTCACGGTAAATAATTTTAAATGGATTTCTTGTTTTTTTTTCATCTTCATCTTCATCACCAACGACTGGAAATGGTATGAGTTGTTTTGAGGAAAATAAATTTGGACACGACAGACTTCGATCAATACGAAAATGTAAACTTTGTAATTTACAAATATTCAATAAACTTTCATAATTATAAATATTTTTTGAACATAGACGTAGCTGTGATATATTAGCGCCATAATTACATTGTAAAGCGGATGTATGATGGGAATGATGGTGTGCTGGGTGATGACAAACTGATGAATGTCGATGACGTTGTGGATGATGGTGTTGATGATGAAATGGATAATGAAGTACAGTGGTTACACCGGGATCATTGTTTGTACTTGATGAACGTTGAGTACGTCGAACGAATTTAGATGATGGATTTACATTTGAACGTTTTTTCGTAGCTGAATTATTTGACTTTGAATTTGTTGGTTTAATCAATGATAACGGAGCTAACGTTTCAGCAATCGGTTCTGGAAATACAATGTCTCTAGAAATAGAAAAAAAAGAGAGCGTTATTAAAATAGTAGGAAAAATAGACACTGTTTCTTGCTGAATGATGATTCTGCAGATACATAACACTTACTTGCAACTGCTACTATGTTCAATAGGTACACTTTGTTGTTCTTGTAGATCAATTTGATTTATTGATGCTGCTCGATCTTCATGACTTAACTGATATCCGTCACGCGTTGCTTTTCGATACAAATATTCATCTTCGAAGTGTTGTCTAACAGCTGTCGGTAAACATAATTCAGATTTTGAGTATTGATCGTATAAATCTTGTTTTCCCAACTGATCATAGAATACCATATCTGTTGCATCATCATCTGTCCTATTAAAGTCGGTTGTTGTTTCATCAATATTATCGTCCTTTTTGCCTTTGGTACTTTCATTTTTTTCTAATGTTTCCAACTCGGTATTACCACCACCATTTTCGTTTTTACCACCTTCACCTTGATTCTCTGTCTCTTCATCGATTTCTTCTTCTTCCTATATCCCGAAATATTCAATTAATTGTATGAGATGAACATTTTTATTTTTGTCTACATACCTCTTCTTCTTCATCTTCATCGTACTCGACTTCTCTGAACAGTGCTCCAAATGCCACAATAAGAAAAACAATACCAGAAAATAACATTAGAGCACCATACCATTTATAACGATTAATCAATTTTTGTAAAACAATAGCAAACACACATTGGCCAAATGCACCACCTAACAACAAGACAAGACAATGAATCGAGTATCAGATGGTACAGAAATAATTGATCACTTTTGAAAGCTAAACTTCTCTAACTGAAGTAATATTTTAAAATCTCATTTTATAATTAAAAGATGTAAACGAATTTAATTCTCTACAAAACTGTATATTTTATTGAGAAATTAATTTAGTTTTCTCAGTATAACATTTAAGCTATCAGAATGGACCCATATTCAAAACTTTTCGGTTTCGATCCTAATTCTTCGCAAAGCATTCGTAATAGTTCAAATTAACTCTATTATAATTATTTTTCTCATCAAAAGTTGCGCATTTTTGAGCTCTACAGCACAGTATCAATTTTTTTAAAAGTTATTCTTTTCCTTCTTCGAGCGAAGCGATGCTTAAATCTAAAGAATAAAATTCACAATAACACTAGTATTTTTCTTTCAAATTCAAAATCATAAACTTGATCTAGAAGGATGTGGAATTTCCTACTCTAATGGACTAGACCAAGTGGTACTTATTAATACTTATACACCAAATGGTAGATTTATTGAGTACCCGACAGAGAAATCACAAAACCATGCAATTCGGAAACAACCGACTACCTAGTAATCAGTTTCTTATGCTCGTTTCTTAGTTCGACAGTTTTCAGTTTATGGTGAAGCGATGCCAAATTTTTTGGAGAATTTATTAATGTCTTTTGTTTTAATTCATAACGCTTTTCTTGTGCGACACGATTCTTAAGCAGATTTGTAGGCGGAAAAGTCTTGAAAACTGAGGAAACTAAATTAATTTTTCAATAAAATATACAGTTTTGTAGAGAATTAAATTTGTTTACATCTTTTAATTATAAAATGAGACTTTGAAATATTGCTTCAGTTAGAGAAGTTTAGCTTTCAAAAGTGATCAGTTATTTCTGTGTCATTGGATATAAATTCTTTCAATAAATAGTTTAAAATTTCGGATAACTTACCGCTAATTGTCACTCCAGATGCAAATGAGGGTTTATATTCGAAATGTTCAGTAACAGCTACTACGGTTGCCACTAGTACAAGTGAATTACCAAATGAATAACAGAAGCCCATTGTCAAATATAATATTTCTAATTTTCGAGCAAATGAACTAGCTAACAATGACATTGAGGTGATAAATCCTAAATTGAAGACAGTACGACTATTGTACATATGAACTATACATCATTCTGCTTACCTCCTAACATTGTTGTCTTTCTATAGCCTAAACGTGTAGTTAATATCGACGCAATAGGTCCAATAAGACAGGGCACAGAATTCATCATCGATTGTACCCATGCTAAACGTGATGAACCTTCATTTGTAAATTCTGCTTGAAGAGCAACAAACAATATTGGAAAAACGCTTGTCAAAGCTTCGCCTATAGAATATGTTAAAAAACCGGCTATTAATATGACCCATGACCATGAAGATTGTACTTGAACAAACTCTTGTATTGGGGAGCATGATTTTGATAATTGGCGACGAATTACACGAGATAAACAACAACAGGTACCACAACGACGACGACCATCATCATCATTAATTTTAATTGCATGGCCGTTTGATAATTGATTTTTATCCTCGATTAATTGTCTATCTAAAATTTAAAATTAACAAAACACTATCAGATCATAAAATTATCTTGTTTATTTATCTTTTAAATGTACCCAATGAAAATTACCCTGGATAACCTACATGCGTTGATAAAATTTTCAACTGTATTACCTGTTAAATTTTTATCATGATTTAGCCCATTTGCTATTTCTTCACCCACATAGATAATTGTGTCCGTTTTCGGACTTGTAATTAATAAATGATCTTGTTCTTCTTCTTGTTGTTTATTTTTAATTAGACTAATTTTATTTTTCTTTTGTTGTTTTTCATACATAAAAATTTGTTGATTCTCTTCTGGGGATATTGGATAGTGTACATGTTTTTTTTCCTTTTCTTTAAGGAGTGGCGGTGATGATGGTGGTGTTGACGATGACAAAACACGTTTAATACTATTATTATTCTCACCGTTATTATTATTTGTTGTTATCATTTTTTCTTTTTTTTTCTTTACGTCAATAAAAGAGAATGAGAGATTAATAATAATAAAATAAAAACACAGGTATAGAGCACACAACACACACACATACACACACTTATCAGACAAAATGCCTAAATTTCTTCTTTTTTTTTTTTTTGTTTGATTTAATCTGTCTTAATATGGAAATAACTAAATTTATTAATTTAACGTAAGTAAAATTGTTCTAGGTAATATCGCCAAATCTTAATAATATTGTTGATATAATTGATATTGAACGTAAACGAATATGTTTATCATTAATTAATAAATTTTTGTTTTTAAATAATCTGGATGATAATAATCGCGATTGACAATGATCGGTAATGTAGATCATCGGCAATAAAATTTTAGTAAAAAATTTTATTTTGATGATAGGAACACACTAATTCTAGATGTTTATACTGTTCAGTTAAATAGAAGATAAAAAATAATGAAGAAATAAATAATCAAATATTGAATTGAATTTTTTTGTTTTGTTCTAAAATGGTTTGATCATTACAAACAATAACAATAATATTCTGTAATTGGGTGTACACTCGGATATATATTTTTGATATGAGTAAAACTAACTTCTAACAGTAGACATTAATGATGTTTTTTTGTTTTTTTCTATTATATATATATAAATATGTATCTATCTAGAAAACGAAAACAAAACAAGACTGACTGTTACGTCACATTTACATCATAAAATCAATCAGGTGTGAATAATAACTTGAATTTAGTCTAACCTCGCATTCGAAAAATCATATAAAAACAGACTAGAGAGAGTATATCAAATTTTAACAATGTATGAATCTGCTCGTTTCATTATTACATTCTGACATTCAGATAGACTCAAATTCCTCTCATATAGACAAAAAACAAAACAAAATGTATCCACTCAATTTTTACAAAAGAAGCAAAGTTTTTTTTCAATAAAACAACAGCAATGTATGTGTGAGATTTAGAGTTATGTAGTGTAGTCAATCATTGAATTTCAGTATATAAATTGGATCGTTCAATTTTCATTTGTTAATAATAGAACGCGTATTATGCTTTACAAGAAAGTTGTTTAGCACAGTGAGATAACACCATTGAAAAAGAGAGTAGTAGAAGAAGAAAAAAAATAGACAAAAACAAACAAAAAATAAATAGACAACTACAAACTTTTTACAACTTTTTTCAATAAAAAGAATCGAATAACGAAAAAAACTGTATGATTTTGATCAGAAACATATCGAAGAATCGATAGATTTTTGAGAAAAAGAGGCAAATAATTTTTTTCGTTCAAGTAATATGAAATCGAATTTCTATATTTTTTTTATGTATGCCAATTGGCAAAAAAAAACAACCAAAAAGTTTCAACAAAATCTTTCTCTATTTCCTCTCGGACTACTTACATAGATTTGATATACATTTGCACTTATAGTCTCAACGTACTGCTGTAGAAAAAATAAATAATAACCTTAAAATATTTTTAACTTAGTTGTACACGTAATTACATTTTAATGCAAACTAGAAATAAAAAGTAGAAGAAAAAATAGGATCACTCTCAAGTACACGATGGATATTAATGTAAAAAACATGAATAAGAATAAAAATAGGTAAAAATTGAAAGTTAGAAAATAGTATTGTAAATAAAGAAAAACATATTAGTGTAGTAAATCGATTGAATTTAATGATAAAATTTTATTGAAAACCGATAGTAACCAGTAATGTACTGTTGACTACTAATGAAAAGCGAATGCTCTTGTGTAACCTAAATAGACATGTACTTTAAGCACACATGAAATTTCTAAGTAAATAGAAATATATAATGATTCAATAACATCACATTATGAATAAAACATTTCATAACTCCAGATGTCATGTAAAAATGATTCGTTTATTTTTAAAAATTTCTCAAATTTTTACACAAAATAACCTTCATAACTGCTGACTGATTAGAAAGTCAATAATCAGTTTCAATATTTTTAAATAGGAAGGAAACGCATGGTATCAAGTACAATGATAGAAATTCCTCATTTTCATATTTGTGAAGAGTTTATTTGAACAATAAAGAGGACAATTGATAACGTGAAAGATATTTCATCAACATGTTTAATATTTGGGAAGAATAGAAAAGAAAAAATATCTCAAAATTGTGAACTATAAACTTAAACAAATTTTTTTTCTTTAACATTAAAGATATAAATATCTAACTTGACTCAAATCTCTTGTTTTTTTCAATCGTCATTTAAATTATCTTCTTGTCATTTGACTTATTTTGTACCAATTACTTATCCAGTTTAATATTTAAAAACTAAGAGTCAAGCAAACAAGAAAAACTTTGCTCTTTTACAATGCATTTTATCCTTTTTGTTATAAGCAATAAATACTAATTAGATTATTTTTACGTATAACTGTATAAAGTAATATTTACAAATATTATATTTAAAATAAATATTAGCTTTATCAATAGTAAATATGACGTTTGTTTTTTCTTTTCCCTTCTTTCAAAGAGAAAACAGGCCGATCGCTTACTGTAGATGAGAAAAAAAAATTAACTTCATTTTTTTTTTTCGTCGAATATTTCAACAAATATCAAAAGCTTTATTGAAAAATAAAAAAAAAAACAAAAAAAAACAAGAAAAAAAAGAGTGAAATATAATCCTACCGTTGTTAAATATAAAAAAAGAAAAGAATCATCAAACGTCATTACAAATACTCAATCATTCTTATTTTTTTATTTTTTATTTTTTTGTTCTTATTTTTCTATTGCGTACGGCATAAAAAAGAGAAAAACGGCATTTACGTCTATTTGACCGAGACAAAACCGTACGATGATGATTGACACATCTGCCTTGTGTGCATAAAATTTAAACATTACTTTATTTCTAGGTCTTATACACAAAAACAAGTTTAGAATATTTTTCTTTTGGGATGGACAAAAATAAGAGAAAATGAAGCAGAAACAGTTGATGATACAGCTGTGTATTAATATAAAACAAAAATCTTGCGATTAGGATACATCTTTTATCTCTTCTTTTTTCTTTTTCCTGTCTACAGTGCCACAACAAAAGAACAAAAGAAAAAAGAAAAAAGAAAATTAGTCTGAATATTTACACGTACAAGTCGTTCTTCCTCGATGAGCAAAATCACAAACAATAAGTATAAAAATAGAAACTTCACTTGAAATTCTTTTGCAAAATTCCCTATTGATTAGGAAACATAATGCTGAAGTACAACTATTTTTTGATCTTTTGGTTCAAACTATGTCACTTCGACCTTTCATTAATCATAAGTTAGTAGATGGACACACTGTTTCTCTATATAGCCATTTGTTGATGTCGATCACTTAAAAGATATTTTTCAATTGATCGGTTTAGTTAACAAATGAATAGTCTGTTATTTTCTTTCAATTTTCATAATAACGTAAAAGAGACATACAAGAGGATAAACAATGATGTTTATTATTTAGAGTAATATTAAGAAAAAGAGATGAGATGGAAATACTAATCTACATTTACCACATAACAGATTAAAATACTTATATTCATATGTTTTATGTGATGATTAGTTTTTAACGATTTTATTTTCTTGTCAGATGTTTTCTTTCACATGGAAAAAAACGGAAATGGGTACAGAAAAGATTATTGAACCGAGAAAATATTATAGGGGAAAAAAAGCAGAAAAAAATCAATTTTTGTGTACTATATTTCTAAATATGAAATCAAATTTCTCTATTGTATAACATGTCATGATACACTATAGAGTGTAAGAGAAGAAAAAAAAAGGAAAAATCTAAAACAAAAGTACATCGTTCTGGAATATTTATAAAAAGTCACAGTTAACGAATAGACTGCTATAGATCGATAAAAACAAATTATAGAAGATTGATAAAAAATAGAATAACCTTTTATTTACAGACAAAATCCTCGAATATCAATAATAACACCAACAACAACAACAGCAGTAACCTCAAAATAATGTCAGCATCCCAGTAAGAACAGCATTGTGAAGCATAACTCATATAATTATACAATGTTATTAGTATGTTGTCTTACTTATGAACGTATAGAATCTATTTAAAATAAACGATTTTTGCTTGTCTATATATGAAAGAATATCTATATGTTTCTGTATAAGATGAAATTCAATATGATGATTCTTAATGGCAAGATTTGACTAAAGTTTTTCTGGATGCGCTTTTACTTATCTAGTTTTTGAATAATGTCAATAGTATTAGAATGAGATACAGCTTATAATTTAAGCTAGTCAGAAATTATTTATGGAAAATCTGATCACATAAAAGTATCATCGAAAGTTGTCATCTACAAAAAATGGTCATGATTCAACAAATATATGATATAATCGATTTGTCAATAATCTAATTGTTCGTTAATGTTTCATCTTGAATCAATTTCATCTTTGATATACATCTATTCTAAATGATAACAGCTCACTTCACTGACTTTTATGTTGCAATCAACTACAGAATCACCAGAATTCTCAGGAATCCAAGATGTATCGATGCCCTAGGAGGCAGTGCACGATAGAGACGAACGAAGTTGCTCAATGAACTGTCACAGATTTTTCTCAAATTATCAGAGCAGATAGAGAAATGTGTCCTGAACATTTTTGTCACTAATAGAGAGCCGAAAGATCC